ATACGTTCAGAGCGACGTATTTTTTTGGACTTCGCGAAGGGATTGTCTGTCATGTAGAGACATGATTCATTCATGAGTCGATATTGTTCAGACGATCATGACTATATCACAACGTCATGTACAGACACGATTCATCGTTTGTACCTGTTGTATCAACCATGACTATGTCTCAGTGATATGAGAAACATCATTGACTAGTTACTAGAAACCTAATCAAGATCCTAAACACACAACTGAGACTAGGAGAATTTTACTGAGTAAGTAATTATTCTGATGAATCTAGATCTAGAGGAACATAATCTGGTTGCTTGGCTCGAGGTATATGAGCCTGAGCATATCATGTATCATAAACTATATAGAAATCTATCTCAATCACAATCATCATCTTAATTCATGTCACCATCAATAGCTGCAAAGGACAGTTTAACCATTTCCTTATAGTTATGAGCCCGGATTGACGCCATAAAATTTTTTTAAATAATTTCCATTAAAAGCTCGTGAATAAGAATCCCCAATTTAGATCCTTTCAACCCATCACAAACTGCATCAAGAAGTTAATTTTCAAAATTTTATAAATAAATCGTTAAGTAATTCAAGATGGCATTCTTAAAAGCAGGTTCTCTAACAAATGAAACCTACATGGAATGGTTTGATTTAATTCTAGGCCATGCCACAGATAGTGGTATATGGGAATTTGTCGATCCGTCCGGAACGGTAATTCACAAAGAGCCTAAGAAGCCATTATTTACGGATTACAAATTAACCCCTACAAGATTTGGAGACTTAGATGATGAGGAAAAATTCATGTATAAAGAGGACAACGCTCAGTATAGAATCAATATCCAGTCATTCAAAAACGACTGTCGGACTATAGGCGAGCTAAGATCGAAAATCGTGGAGTCTCTACACCCCAATCATCGAAAATTAATTTTCGGTTTCATGACATGTCAAGATGTCTTAATTCAAATCAAAAATCGACTTGAGCCGACTATTGATATACAGCAGATGAAAATTGTGGAGGATTATACAAGAGCACGGACTGTTCCATCAAACAGAAATATTGAGCAATGGCTCATGGAATGGGAAAGGCTAGATATAATGATTAAACGACTAAAGATTGCCGATTTTAGTGACTATAGGATGATTCAAGATTTTCTCTCAGCATCGAATACTCTTCTACCTATGTGGGTGACGAGTAAGAGAATGGAAATCTTGAAATCAACAAATAAAATGTCACTTAAATTCCTTGAAATATTGCTCGAATTTCGACAATTCTGGTCATTAACAGAATTCGAATCGGCATATAACCCAACGGCATTTCCTTATGATACACCAATTAACGGTCGACCTAATACAAATTCTGCCGAACAAAAGTCTTGCATATGTGGAAATAGCCATGATGGTAAGGAGTGTTACTATCTCGCTGAAAATAAGGCACCCAATGGATTCAAAAAAGACGAAAAAATTGTTAAAAAGTTCAAAGATGCTTGCGAACGTCATAAATTTAGAACGTTTGTCAAAAAATCTAACTGGACCGCCGAATGGCTTAAAAATTTTGTGGAGGAAAAATGACCAACACATCAACAATTTTTGGAATCCAACAATAGATCGTCAAAGCAAGAGAAAAGTGGCACGTTTGTGACATCGACTGACACCACAAGCCTAACCACTAGATTAAATCATCCATTGAAAAATGAAATCTTGCTCGACAATGGTGCTGATGGACATGTCTGCAACAACCTAGCACTTGCAACATCAGATTTGAGACTAACAGAAACTCCAACTTTTGTGCAGGCAGGGGCAGGAACATGTCCAATAATCGGATATGGTAACATGATTTTTGATGCAAATTTAGGTAACAGAGAAACCTATAAAATGACTCTAACTAACGTTGCATTTGCACCTGAATTTTTAACGTCAGTAGTGTCATGGAAGGTTTTGAAGAAAAAAGGAATCAAATGGGATTCACATACTAACATCATGACATTTAATGGGCAACGAATTTGTCAGCTCTTAGATCGTCATAACCATGATGTCTTCAGAAACATACCCGTACCAGAAACAAAGAATCATGAAATAACCGCCATAACCAACTCCCAAAGATCTCGAAATTCTGTTCGACCAGAAAAATTATGGCACCAAAGACTTGGTCACCCAGGGCCAGAGTCAGTGCAGTATATAAAGTCAAATTCAATTAAAATCGACCAAAAAGATTCGAAAACTTTTGAATGTAAAGACTGTGCACTCAAAAAAGCCACCAAAATCTTATCACGAGAATTGAAAAATCGTGAACTTATCCCGTTTGAAGACCGGATGGCTGAGTCAGAAAATTTTGAAAAATGGCCGGCAGTTGGGGCAATTAATCAGAACAATCAGTCTGAACATTCTGAGGGAGTGAATCAAAGAAAGGTTCATCATCTGGACAAAATAACTAGTCTCATCAATCGAAGCGCAACTTGTAGGAGTTATGACAACTGTAAAACGAAGGAAGGTAGACTTAGGCCAATGGTAAGCAATAGAGTACTCAAAAATTGCTTCCAAACAACCCCTAGCACAATTAAGCCTTACCAGCAGAAAGTCGACTCGCCAGATCATACATTAAGCGCCACGCAATCAGACATCTTGCAAACAATCAATCCTATTGCAAGATGCACGACTAGTCTAAGTGAAACTTACCTAAAAGCATCCAACAACAATTTCTACCACCTTTACCAAGACAGATGTATGGTAATTGTATCTACAGAATTGTCAAAATTACCAGAGATCGTATACTGCTCTGCTGACACATTCGCAAATATGGAAGAAAGACGTAGCATACAAGGCGTCGCTTTCAAGCTTAGTAGTGGACCTATATATTGGAATCCAACGAAACGAGAAACATCAACAATTTCATCAACAATTTCATCAACAGAGGCAGAAATTTCGTCACTTTTAAATGCGACAAAAGAGCTAATCTGGATGCAAAGACTATTTTCTGGTATTAATTTTAACCCTGACCAACAAGTTGAAATATACAACAATAACCTACAAACTATACGCTTATTGAACAAAGAAGAACCAATTATAAAAACCAGACTCAAACATGTCGACATTTATCAGCATTGGTTAAGAGAGAAAGTTCAAAGAAATCAAGTTAAGGTATCGTGGGTAAACACTAACAACATGGTTGCAGATGGCATGACCAAAGCTTTAAGCAGGCAGAAGCACACCAAATTTGTTAACCTCCTGAACCTAGTGTCAAATCCCGAGATACAGGACTCAATTAAAGACTAAGTCCTGGGGGGGTGTGTCATGTAGAGACATGATTCATTCATGAGTTGATATTGTTCAGACGATCATGACTATATCACAACGTCATGTACAGACACAATTCATCGTTTGTACCTGTTGTATCAACCATGACTATGTCTCAGTGATATGAGAAACATCATTGACTAGTTACTAGAAACCTAATCAAGATCCTAAACACACAACTGAGACTAGGAGAATTTTACTGAGTAAGTAATTATTCTGATGAATCTAGATCTAGAGGAACATAATCTGGTTGCTTGGCTCGAGGTATATGAACCTGAGCATATCATGTATCATAAACTATATAGAAATCTATCTCAATCACAATCATCATCTTAATTCATGTCACCATCAATAGCTGCAAAAGACAGTTTAACCATTTCCTTATAGTAAATGTAATGAACTTAAATTGGAGTAACTACTGTAAGAGGTCTTACCTTCAGAGATATTCAGTAAATGTAATGAACTGAGGATTTCTGAAGGAGAAGAACACTACATGTATATACAGGAATTAGTCCTACTGAGACGAATTTAAAAATAAGCCAGGATATGCGCCCATGTCCCAGTATGGCAACATTATCATGGTGATGGTATGTCTTGACCACCAGTAGACCCCCAAGCTAGCTGAGTGTAAGACAGAATCATGCATATACCATAATTTCCAACATATCTTGTGTTAAGCGCCAAGACTAATTAATATTACAGAAAATAGATGTGGCGCAGTTACGCCCTCAGGGCTCCAAACATGCAATGAGCAAGGCAGTGTAGGTGCTTGAACATGAAACAACTACACGTGACATGAATGCCAATCTAGGCTTGGCATTACTCAGCAAACACCCACACCTCATGTATATAGAGCTCGCTGTAGTTACTCCTATTTCTCATTCCATAGCCAATCTCTCTTACATTCCTAAGGCTGCCTCTCTACCATTTTCATACCTCGTGATTTTGGCTATCTTTTTCAGAGACCCAGCCTACTTGATTCACTCACACACCCACGCACTACACTTTCAGAGTCATCCACAGTCCCACAGTCCCATAGCCCCATAGTCCCAATTTTACAGAAGTCGATGTCCTTGGAGACTAATACTCTCAAAGAACTCACCAATCCCCGAAACCCCACAACAGGACGATTCATAAGAAGGACCATACACCAAGATACCATGGCAAGTATGAAGATATCCGAAGAGCTTCCCCTTTTCAATGAAAAGGTTAAAAAATTCGCCTCGCCATCACGGAAAAACGCGCCATTGAAGCCAACAAAGGTCGAAAAGTTCGATGGAAGCAATGCAGATTTCAAGACTTGGTCCACCGCTATGGATCTCCGTTTTGTCAAATACCCCGAAGACTTCAGCACTCCAGAGTCGCGCCTCACAGAGATTGCCGAGCATTGTTCGGGTCGCGCTGCAAACTGGATGAATGCAATCATCACCGGCGATCGTGAAGATCTCATTGATGATTATGCTGAATTTATTGCACAGTTCTCTAGAACCTTTCAAGACGCGCAGTAAATCTCGCATATGTAAGACCAGTACATGACTAGACATGTAAAAGGTTCTGTTGCCATCTTTGCAACGCAATTCGAAGAAGCATACCATGCTTTGGGTTACCCTCCCAATGTTATGGCACTCCAGTTCCTACATCACATGCAGCCCGAGATTAGAAAGGCGCTAAACCGTCAACCAACCCTCGACCGCGAAGACTATGAAATGGTCCGGAAACTTGCGGTAGAGGTAGACAGCAATATCTACCTAGAGCGCAAAGAGGAACGTACCGCACGGCCACGTACTTACACATCCATTGCCACTGCTGCAACTACCGTCCGCGCTGAAGAAACGACACAACAATACGGAGCTTGCCATACAGGCCCACGCCCTCCCCTCACAGATACCGAGAGAAACCGTCAGCGAACCCATAACCTTTGTCTATACTGCGGAGCAAACGACCATTTGGTGGAAAGATGTCAGCTCACAAAGGGACAACGCCGCCTCAACACCACGGCATACGAGCCAGACACTGCAACCTCTATACACCACAAGAACGAATCTGTACGTACTCACACCCCCTACTCTGCTAAATTGCAAACCTGGCGCCCCCCCACTGACTTCACCCCTAGGATTAAATCTCGACGTCCTCAACTCAAAGTCAAAGGGTCAGTGGGTGGAAAGGTAGTGCATGCATTAGTAGATAGTGGTGCGGAAGATAATTTCATCAATAAAAATATTTTACCAGAACTTCAAATCCAAAAGTCTACTCCTTTGTCCCAACCAATTATTGCTGCAGACGGCCACATCATCGTGCCTAGTGATAAAGCAAGAATTGTAGAAGTAGAATGTAAATTTAACAACCTCACAAAAGGTCAATTCTCCTTTGTACCAGCTCCATTGAAACATCAAGATGTCATACTAGGTTACCCATGGTTGCAACGCCTAAATCCAAACATTGATTGGATTACTGATAAAATAAAATGCAACAATCTCATACCACAAAAGCGTCCCATAAAAACACCAATAATAAAAACAAGGCCACGCACATTTCCCTCCCCTCTCCGCACTGTAGGTCAAGGCTGGGGTGCACGCCCACTCAATAACAGTAAAGCCATCGCTATGACAAAGCACGTTCGCAAACTCATCCGCAAAAACACCAGTGTCCAACAAAACAACAGCCCCAAAACTGAGGAAAGAGTTCCCATAATTGATTGGCAAAAATTATACCACACCCTAAAATTGAACACCATATTGAAAGAACACGAGCCCGACACCTATCAAACCCTACCTAACCACTATACAAATTTTAAAAATGTTTTCTCAAAGCCAAAAGCTGAAGAACTAGCAAAAGAAAGGTCAAACGTGAACTGCGAGATTATTCTCAAGCCAGACGCCAAGATGCGCCGCAGAAGAGTATACAAGATGTCTGATACAGAACTCAGTCTACTCAAAACCTATATTGACGATGGAATCCAACAAGGATGGATCCGCAAAAGCAAATCTCCTTGCGCCTGTCCAGTTATGTTTCGAACTAAGCCGCATGATTCGGCCCTACGCTTTTGCGTGGACTACCGTGCCGTAAACGCCAATACAGTCAAAAACGCTTACCCTTTGCCCCAATTAGATGACTACCTAAGCAAAATGCACGGGGCTAAATTCTTCACCAAACTCGATCTTCGTAACGCCTTCCATCTGCTACAAATGAAAAAAGGTGATGAGTGGAAAACTGCGTTTATAAGCCAATTCGGCCTCTACAAATACCAAGTCATGCCTTTCGGTCTTTGTAATGCTCCAGCAACCTTTCAAGCATGGATGGACAGTATTTTCCGAGAATTAAGAGAAACTATGATGTGTTACCTTGATGATATCCTCATATGGGGAGAAACCAAAGAACAAGTTATCGAACGTACCCACAAAGTCCTTTATATCCTTGAAAAGAACGGCCTATACGCCAAGCTTGAGAAATGCGAGTTTGAAGTCACGAGAACATGGTTTCTGGGTTACAAAATCAAGCACAATAGTATCACAATCTGCCCTTCTAGAATATCTCTTGTCACCGAGTGGCCTGAACCTATCACTCTTGTTGGAATTTGCCACATTTCTTACGATAATTGGCATTCCTTGCAAATATGAACAACTTTCCTGCATGCTGCACAATACATCCTGTATTCTACATTTTAGTTTCTTTTTGCTGTTGAGATATTCTCTCATACATTTGCATGTGCGGGGTAATATGAAACTATATGCAAATGTAGTGAGAGATATGGTCACGTTTACTTTGCGACAAATAGGATGGCGTTAATGGTGCGGGGTCAGTACTGTTTTATTCCCCGCACAATGGTTTCGTGGTCAGCTGTGCTGAAGACTTTTCACTGTAATAATTGTTGTTTGCATACCCACTTTAACTCTAGGATATGCGCACATAAATTCGCGTTTTACATGTAACTTAGAACTTTAATGGAAACAATATTCTTTGAGCTATACTTTCTGCTCCTCTTACTATGAAATTGCAACAACTCTCAAACAAGTACAATCATTCTTAGGCTTCATCAACTTCTACTGCCGCTTCATTCCACGGTTCTCCGAACTTGCCCACGGACTTACGGCTCTTACCTGTAAAGAAAACCTTCAACGTCGCTTCGAACTCAGCAAAGAAGGTCTTCAAAGTTTTAGAACTCTTCAAGACGCTTTCAAAGACTCGAAAGTACTGGGTATTTGGGACTCCAGTCTTCCAGCGATCCTCGAGACTGACGCTTCCTGCTACGCTATTGCCGGCATATTATCACAAATCGTTAATGGTGTTAAAGTTCCCATCGGATTCTACAGCAAGAAACATTCACCCGAAGAGACCAGATATGCTACACCAGACCAAGAACTCATGGCAATTTGTTACAGTCTCCAACAATGGCGTCGTTATCTAGAAGGCGCTCGACACCAGATTACTGTCTACTCAGACCATTGCAATCTCACAACTTTCAACACCACCGCAAACTTGAACCGCCGTCAAGCCAGTTATTGGGCACAGATGAGCAGGTTTGACTACGTTGTAAAGCATATCGCAGGAAAAAATAACCCCGCAGACTTACCTTCACGCCACGAAGATTATAAACTCACAAAAGATGATGCACCCGAGGTCCACACATTCCTATGCCTCGCCACAATGTCGCAAGTTCCTCCCGATATTTACAACGCCCTTGTCACAGCTACAGCAACCTATAATTACGCAGCCGAAGTTAATCCTTTGGACGAAGAGTCCAAGCTTAAATGGCAAAATGATATCCTGATATACGCTGACAAACGGGTGTACGTACCTCCATCCCTACAAAATCGCATCTTAGAACTATGCCACAACTCCCCTCTAGCGGGACATCAAGGCCAAGCACGCACATTAGAGAAATGCTACCGCGATTGGTACTGGCCATATATGAAAGACGACATAAAAAGATACGTCCGAGGATGCCAAAACTGTAACAAAAACAAAGACCCGCACCATGCAACCTACAGAAAACTTTCCCCACTTCCTGTTCCCGAAGGAAGATGGACCAGAGTTCATATGGATTTTATCACTGATCTCCCTACGACAAGTAGTGGTAATAACGCCATCCTTGTCGTCATTGACGCCTTAATAAAAATGGCACATTTTAGCCCCGTAAAACTTAAAGGAAGCAATACCGCCAACGCTCGAACGACCGCAGATCTCTTCCGCCGAGAATGCATCCGTCTTCATGGTATTCCGGGTACCTTAATATCAGATTGAGACACCCGATTTCTTAACAAGTTTTGGAAAAATATGACGTCGAAACTGGGAATTGTCCAACAACCTACAACAGCCTACCACTCCACGGCCAACAGTCAAGCTGAACGTGCAAACACTATAATTGAAGCCCTACTACGTGCATATTGTAACCAAGCCCAAACTGACTGGGACACATGGTTAGATACATGTGAGTTTGCTTACAATGACTCAAAAACTTCGGCCACAGGCACCACCCCCTTCTTCGCAAACTACAGTTACCACCCACACCGCCAGTCCCACCCCGAGCTTTTCAACAAAGAACCAGACCAACATAACGACGGAGCAGATTGGGTCATAAAGCAACAGCTTATACTTGACAAATGCAAAGAACAGCTCCTAAAAACCCAAGCAAACATGTCAAAATACTACAACCAATGGCATAGCAAAATGAGTTTCAGAGTTGGGGATCAAGTTATGCTACATACCCGCCATTTGTCTCTCGAAGTAGACAAATTGCGTAAGTTAGCACCTTGTTGGATAGGGCCATTTCCCGTGGTAAGCATCGAAGGTCCGCTCACTTACCGCCTTAGTATCCCAGATAAATTCAACATCCCGCACCCTGTCTACTACTTCTCAAATCTCGAGAAGTACCATAGTCCTGATGTGGCACAAGGTCAAACAGACGTAAATGAAGCTCGCATATGGCACGAAAAGGTGACGTCCCCGATTCAACACCGACTCACGCCATATAGAATCCTTGCTTGTCACACTTCCCAGAAAGGCCGTCAAGCCCATTACAAGCTGGAATTTATTAATACAGGCCATACCATATGGGCCCCAAAAACATTTGTTGGTTTTGCAAACTCCGACAATTGACTAATTGATGCTTTTCATACTCTCAATCCCAATGCCCCTCGACCTGCTGGGTATAGACTGGAGGCGGATCACGTCTGGGAGGACATCACACTACCAGATGAGGAGGATAATGTACCATGCCGCGGACGCCCAAAATTGCAATTCACTAGACAATCAACTTACGCCATCACCGCAGACAGACCTTATGGCAACAAAAAATTACAATATGCAGTATCCAACCCAGAAAGACCCACGGTAACAAAGTGGATGACCAGAGCGCAATTAATAAGGACTATTGGCCGACAATGGCAGGATTTGGTAGAACATTACACTACTTCCAAAGACTAAGGCATAGATAAACACGCATACCCCCCCGCTAAAATTCTCATTGTTTAGGTGAATGAATTAGAACACCGAGGATGGTGCTCTGAAGGAGGGGGATAGTTACGCCCTCAGGGCTCCAAACATGCAATGAGCAATGCAGTGTAGGTGCTTGAACATGAAACAACTACACGTGACATGAATGCCAATCTAGTCTTGGCATTACTCAGCAAACACCCACACCTCATGTATATAGAGCTCGCTGTAGTTACTCCTATTTCTCCTTCCATAGCCAATCTATCTTACATTCCTAAGGCTGCCTCTCTACCATTTTCATACCTCGTGATTGGCGCATTATTAAATGATACAAATAACGGAAACGAAAACGAGATAGTACATGACTAGTGTAACAGATGCAGGACTGTTAGAATTTCAACAGGATACGCATGCGGTACAAGAGTCATCCTGGGAGAACGGCGTCAAAAGCGCCTTTTACATTGAGTGTGAGCATGCTTGCTGTGCGTCCTTTGTTGAGAGCTCTCTCCACATCATGGGTGAGGCTGGTTGTGAGGTCAGTTGCAGATCTGCAGGGGAGAGCTCCGAATTGTTGAGATGCCAGGACCTTATGCCTGACTGTTGGTAAAACAAGAAGTAATACAAATTGGGTGCCATCACAAAGTCAGCTGTCCGTCACGAAGTTGGTGAATAATATCAATTAACTGGCATCTCGAAATCCATAAAACGTTGTTCCTCTTTCTCCTCTCCCTCTGCCCTTTCTTCCTCTACTCCAAGCGCCTCGCTAATGAGCTAAATCAGATCCCTGCTTAAGTCCTAAAGACATCCTTAACACCGCAATTACATAGAACAATTCATAACGCCCAATTATAACCCTTTTACCAACACTGGCAACAACCAGATGCCTTCAATATTGTACAAACCCTTATAATGTCTCTCTTTGAACCCATCCATTAGGCTCTAGCTCAATCAAGTTGTTTTGGGTCAAGTTTCTTAGTGCCTTGCAACATTTGCCCATTTCTTTTGTCATTGCGTCAGCTGGATTTTTATCTCCTGGTATCCACATAATTTCAGTTATTTCTCGACGCTCATATGCTTCGCGCAGACACATAACATCTATCATCAATCTTTTCTTGTGTGTGGTTCCCATTTTGACAATACAATCAAAAAGTGACTGTGAATCAGTACATATGATCATGGGAACTGGGCTAGGATGCCATGGTTTAAGTATCTTTTCAGTTGTGGCCTTAATAACTGATCCCATATCAAATCCGTGTCCAAGTCCATATAGTTCACCTGCTAGGATACTGCGTGTAACACGACGGCATTTGATAGAAGTCCAGTGTGTGACGGCTTTTAAGCCGGTAATTGCCTGTAGCCTGCGCTGTCAAACGCAGGCTTAGCATGAAACAAGGCAGGGACTATTCTTGGAAGCAGGGTCTTATAACTTGGCAAACACCTCTAAGAATAGGGCACGAGAAGGGATATGAGAAGGGATACGAGATGGGATACGAGATGGGATACGGATATACGGATAGAAAACTGTGTCATTGGCCTGGATAATAATCATGTATAAAGTAACTGTTATTATCCTCTTCAATCTGTAGTTCACCATAGATTGAAAATAAACTACCTCTGACCATAAGGTTGCTCAAGTGCCTATGCTTAGACTGTGACACAGTGCACTAAATTGGCATGATTTTTATCATCAGCAAGCACAATAACAAAACAGATTTGAGACAAATAATCAGTGTTGTTGGCAAAAGCTGAGTCCGTGAAGACAACCACTTTGATTGACTTGATTTCAAGTTTGACAAATTTAATACCATTTTTCTTATTTGATATCTGCCATGCTAGACATTTATTAAGAGATTTGACATCATCGGTTGTAGGCTGAGTAGCCTGTGCTGCCTGTGAGAGTGCAAAGCTAGCTTCAGGCTGTGACATAGTTGCCACATAAGCGCCACATGCCCTTTGTGCAACAAAATGAGCTCTCAAGTATTCTGCCGGCATATCAGTACTTATTTCTTTTATTTGCCCAGCTTGTTGTTCTTGACTGATTTTTATGTTGCCGTTAAACATAGTTAGGATACCGCCATTGAAATTGATGCTCCGATCTTCACTGAGAGTTTCTAATGGCTTATGTAACAATCGAGATTTTTCAATATCTTTTTGTTCCATTTCTAAAAATGCTTCATTTGCTACA